AACAAGTAGCTATCAGCATGGAAATCGGGAACAAACAGGGAAACCGAGAGCCAGTTGGGAAACTGCTAGTCAGTGGGAAAATGAGGAGTCTGAGAGATAGAACTTAAAACACAAGTGGAAAGCTAATGGAGTGAACCTATCTAAGAGCACCAAACCCAAGCATAATCACGGGTTGTTTTCCATCTTAGGACAATACAAAAATAAAAAACATAGAGTCCAAAATTACATAGTGTCCAAAACATAGGAAAAAAAAAACATAAATGATTATTTTTTGACTGCATAAAAAATTAATATTAAACATGCAACTTTTGCTGGTTACAACAATGCTTATCAAACATTTTGAAAATATTGGCCACTATGTGCATGCTATTTGTAGATAAGAGGGTTTCAAAAGATGAGATATCTTGTAAGGTGATAATTTAGAAATAATGAATAAAATCTATGAAAAAAGAAAGTTATTGGGATAAACAAAACAATGATTGAGTGCAAATATGTAATTTTGGTAAATATCAAATTGATAATTATCGATGAATATCCAATACTAGTGTGATACAATGAATGTAAATCATGCAAAATAAATAAAAATTTATAGGTATAATTCCACAAATTAAAAAAAGTTTGCTTTTGTTAAATCCCACTGTCCCTTGACCCATGATCCTACAGCCAGGATGAAAATCCGTGGGAGGCTCACATGGATCACGTCGATCTCCTTCCGTATTCGGGTGGCTGATTTCAGAAGGATTATATTAGGGAAATTATGCAAGATTCTATAGATATTTGTTTATTTATTATGATATGCTATATAAATCTATAAATAGGGATAATTTTGTGTAATAATATTAAGCATTTTTCTCTCTCTAATCCTCTAAATTTAACATGGTTTTAGAGAGAGAGAGAGAGAGAGAGAGAGAGAGATCGAGCGGCCTTCATCTCTTGTCAGAATTCTAAGGGCGCTTCTTGTGTATAGTGGGGACGAGACATTGTCATCTTCAATTCATAGGATATACGAATCGAAAGAGCGAGAGATCAAGCGGGGTTCCTTCTTCCTTGTGTGTGCGAAGATCGAGCAAGAGAGGCGTGCGACCATAAGCTCCTATGCGTACGGTTTGGAGGGACTTGGCGTATGTGAGCGAAACTCCTACGTCCACGTGAGAAAGGGAGACGAACGCCTTTGTTCATTCGTGTTTGGAATAACTCGGTTAAGGAAGAGCGCTACTAACGTTCGCATACGAACGTCTGGAAGCAGAATTGGGAGGCTGTGAGTGGGAATCCTTCTGCGTCCACATGAGAAAGTGAGACAAATACCTCTGATTTGTTTGTGTTATTAACATGAGTAGAGAAAAGCGCGATTGACATTTGCGTGCAAACGTCTGGGAGTAAAACTGGGCTGTGAGTAGGACCCTGAACCCAAAATTTCTTGCATCCTCCGAATTTGCTTCAAATCTTGCCCGCATGGACGCCGTCACTAGCTCCCACCATGTTGGTGATGCCATCGTAGACCATTCCGGTGGGTCTTTCACCGACACATCCAACCCCACATGGTATAACTTATGACAAGCACCACCGGTCTTCATTACCGGAATTTTGAGGAATACTGGGCCTTCCACAAGTTTCCAAAGTTCTATTACAATCCAAAAATCCCAATAAGCCAAGAATTGCAATGATCTAAGGTCAAATTACAGTCCGATTAGGAGAGAGCGATTGTAGAATGTTAGCATCAATTTTGCCCAGCTTAGAAACATTGGCTCGGATGAATTATTTAGTTGATGATCGTATATAGGTATGAATGTAATTATCTAATTTCCTATAGAAATATCAATGAATCTTCACATACATGACTTTCTCACTACTGTACAAAATACCTATGATATCAAATATAATTATTGCACATTATTACATCGCCAATAATAGCTTCATGCATAAGCCTTGGCGATATAGAAAGAGATGACTTCAAGACATTGATGTCAGTTCATGCCATTAACTTAGATTTGATTCATTAAACTTTGGATACATATCAATTTTTTTTTTGATGCATCATCCCAATTTGTTGTATAATTTTATATGATCCTACTTTTTAAGTATTTAATTTTTATTTTTCATGGAGAAAGTTTTTTAGGATTTAAATGAGCCATTATCTTTTTGCCTTGTTGAATTTAATATATATTTGCTCACGTCTGCAATAGACAATTTTTTCACAGTTAAAAACAAGTTTCCAACAAAAATTTTCTTTTAAAAAAATCATGAGTAAAAGATAATGCTATAGGATATGATGCAAGCAGGAGTAATGAAGAATACTACCTTACATGCTTGTAATGCATATGTACTAAAGATGGGGGAAAAAGATGAAGAAAGCTAAAATTTATATTTAGATTCTATGAAGTTTTTTTTTTTGGATAGGTGGCAAAACACATTGAAAGTTTTGATTCAAATGGGACATATATTACGTATATCATATGGACGACTTCAATAAAAGCAATCCAAATAGTTCAATGATTAGCCTTTTTGAATTGTATGCTTTTGGATTCTACCAAATCAATTGAGTTTTTAGGTTCAAGTTTTCGTTAAGGCAGGTGTCATTAATATATGTAATTCGACTTTCTCATTATAATTAAATTTGTAAATTAAGAAACAAAGAACCAAACATAAAATTGATATTAATTTGGTTATTTGTCATCAGTTAAAATTAGTAGGCAAGTCGCTCGGAGTTACATTATTAATTTTCTCAATTGATTCAACAATTTTGACCGGTCCGTTTCACAGTCAAGATAGATTTAGTTTCTAACTAATCTTTAGGAGCACGAGTGATCTCAAATTAAATTTCATATTCAAATTTTATCTCTTGCACAATTTCAGGTTTGAGTTCATTGAATATGTTCTAGACTTCTTGTCTAAACTTTGATACATATTCTTGTAATTGTTTTGGCGCAAACTTAGATGTATGATTATTCTATAAATGTAATATTTTTTTTATTTAACTCATCATTTAAAGAATATCCATGAAACAAATTTTTTAAATATGATTAAAATTGACTTTACATGATATTGGTGTTTATGCGTGTTCAACAAGTTTTAGATCAGATGCATACTATTTTTTGTTGGGAATGCTAAACTGAGGTATAGAGTCCTAATAGGCACAATGCTATAATATTTTTCAAATTTTGAAACTTTGTAGCACACATCATCTAATATATTTTGAGAATACTAGCTTAATTTTTGTTCAAGATCTTTAATGAAGCAAATATTGATGACGTTATAACTTATAGGAAAAAATTTTTTGTTACAAAATATTCAAACCTAGGTAAACATTGAATCATAGCATAGTCACCGTGTTAAAAGTCTTGAATTGATTATTTAATTGATCTTTGTAATTCAAGAATGACAAATATTTTTCTTTAATTTTTTTTTATATCGGCCCAAAATTTGAGCAGTTCTTATTAATTTTGCTTTAATATGTTGAACTCTTTGAAATTCAAACATTTTATACATTCTAAAATATTTCTTTAAATTATCAAACCAATATGGAAATTCCAATATATTACATCTCTTATCAAATATAGAAATATAATTCTTAATTTAGTAATAATTAGAATTGTGTAGAAATTATCTAGAATTATAGTCGAATTAATTTTTTAATTTTATTAATTATCATTGATATTTGGTTCTGCTTCTAAAAGGCATCTTGATACAATCTTTAGCCTTGATACCATATCAGGAGGACTTCTATGGGTCTAAAAATTTGAATGCAATTTTAATTAGCAATCTGGAAAATCATGTAACATGCACATAAAATTTGCAGGATGTGCTATGAGGCCAAAACAATTATTGAATAATTTTGATTAAAACTCAATTCATACGGAGTTCTATGACTTGTTGCTAAATCTTAATGGATAGAAATGCCAAAATAACCATTGAATAACTTTGGATTGCTATGATTTTTTCTGGTCTACGTAGTGGTATGCCTTGCGGAGGACTTAATTTTTCTACTTCAATACCTTGTAATGCCCACATTTCATGCTTTCTGCTTTATAGACCTCTTACAGAAATGCGTTATTCATGATTTGAAAAAAGATTATTTTCAATATTAATAATTTTTTATTGCACAAGCTTGATGGTTAAAAATCCATGGGTAAGCATTTGCCAATTATAATAGAAGACAATGGTTTATTAGCTTATATGGACGGTATAGGTTCATCTAAGATTATGTACTCGCTTTTGCCAGTTATGATAAAAGACAATGTTTACCCCTTAGTATGGTATACACACCCAAAATTCCCAGCGATGATGGTAGTTTATGGTAAAACCAGTCATATTACTAGGGAAGTTATTTGGACTTCTTTTTAATAATTACCAAAGTTTAGTTCTAAAAGAATGTTATTTTGAAAGCCATAAATAATATAAATTCATTCACTTTGTCATATTAAAATTTAAGAGTAGTTTTTTAATGAGCTGAATGGAATAATCTTGATTTTGTAGAGATACAAGTGAGGAAATATATTAGATTGAATCATTGAAATTCTTATTCAGGACGCATTTATGGAAACTTTCTGTTTCTCGTTTGGTGCTCTTTAAATTTGGAGAATTAGCCATCTTTATCCTCTCTTTTAGCGGTTCACAAAATTGTTTCTAGTTGGGACTTTAATTGATTTGTTGGATTCTATTGGCTAGACCCTTTTGGCGAGTGGTTTAATCTCATCTATGTTTAAATAATTGCTCTCTCTCTCTCTCTCTCTCTCTCTCTCTCTCTCTCTATATATATATATATATATATATATATATATATATATGTGTGTGTGTGTGTGTGTGTACATACATGCATAGATGCACACAAATACATGAGTTCACATGCATAATGTACAAACATATTCACGCATCTTCATGAAAGAGAGATTATCCAAATTGAATTGTGATTGAACCCTTTTATTTATTTATATACGTAGATAAAACATGTTCATGAAAGAGAGAATTAATGTTAAATTATTAATCCTTTTGGCTTTGTACAGGAGATTTGTCTGGGGATTTTGGGAAATCTAGCTTGCCATGATGTTTCTAGCAAAGCCATGGCATCTAAAGATGGTTTGATTGAAATGGTTATTAATCAACTATACTTGGATGACTCTCCGTGCCTCTCTGCAACATTCAGGTATGCATATTGATAAATCTTTCAAGTTTGTTTTACATACATTGAACTTATGAAAATCATGTATAATACCAAAATTTATCTATTAAGTCTTGTAAATGTCACGCTCTAGGGGATTTGGCATCATTTTGATAATTAATAGAAAGCACCCATAAGCATAAAAACTATAAATAGTTGAAGCAGAATAATTAAAGTATGAACTGAAACATTAAATGGAATGCTTGGATGAACCAAATTATTTGATTCAAATTTGTTTGTGGGTGACACCAGAACTTTACTAATAAAAATGGATTAACTTAAAAGAAAAAAAAGGCGAGAGAGAAAGAGGACTTAGAGAGAAAAGTGTAAGAACCGGGTTTGCCGGTTTAAGTGAACCGACCCTAATCTAGCAGCAGCGGGGCGAAGCAAGTGAGCCGAGCGGGAAAATCCGCTGGTCGAACATGAGCGTAGGCACACATTGCAGAACCAGACCATGCAAACAAGCGAGGAAACACATTTGATTGCCAAAAACAGTGACTCATTGTGTGAGATAACTTCAATTCGCTCACTCTTTTTGCACCACAGGAATAGAAGAGGCTTTGAATGAGAGGAGGTTGATTGAGAGGAAGAAGGAGTGCTGATGTCGTTTGGTCTTTTGGTCGTGGCCAGCTTCATCGACTGAAGACGATGAAGGAGGAGTCATGTTTGAGGTGAGTGAGTGAGCAAGGAAGAGGAGTTAGATCGAGAGGTAAGTATTCATTTTTTTTAATATTATTAGAATATTTAATAAATATAAATTTAATAGTTAAAAATAGAAGTTTATTATAGTTTTGATTTTATATATATATATAAGATAATTAAAATTTATTAGAAAATGAGAGTATATTTAATTATTAGTGAATTAAATGGAGAATTTATTAAATATAGAAAGTCTATTTTAGAAATTAATTGAATTATTATTTTTCGAGGAGAATAAATTTATCCTTTATTAAATTTGTACTAATAATTATTTAATTATATTCAACAGCTAGTTAGAGAAGATATTTATATTAAAAAATTTAGATTTATGATATAAATTACGAGAGTTAAATAAGATATAGATTTTTATTTAACATGCTAATCAAGAAAATTAATTATATAAATAATACATTAAATACAAAATGGTCATAAAGATTTTTGTTTTTATCTACGTATTAGTAAATCCGAAGGTAGAGAGGCTTTAACGAAAATGAAGTGTGAAAAAGTTGTTGGAGATGAAAAAATTTCATGGTTTATTAAACTTTTTAATACTATTTTGATGACTAAAAAGATGCCGGATTAGTGGAGAATGAGTGTGTTGATTCATTTGCAAGAGGATGTACCTTGGTGTATGCTTTTTACTGATTATATTCTTCTTGTTGATAAGACTTGAGAGGGAGTTGATGGTAAACTTGAATTATGGTGGTCAACTTTAGAAAGGTTTTCACTTGAGTAGATCTAAAATTAAATATATATAGTGTAATTTTAGTAGTAATAGACCTAGTGAGGGGATTGTGACTTTGGGTGATCAAGTCATTAATAATAGTACACGTTTTAGATATCTTGGATCTATTGTTCAGAATATTAACTAAAATATTTTTGAGAATAAGATTTTAGATCTTAAGATTTTGTCTGTGCATGAGGATGCTAAAGCTATGTGGGAAAAAGTGGCTAGTGATAATGTGATATTAAAAATATTGCAAAAGATGTTCTTGGAGTATCAAAGGAAAAAGCTCCTAATAGTAAAAATAGTTGGCGGTGGAATCCAAACGTGCAAGAAAAGATTAAAAATAAGAAATTTTGTTATAAAAATTGGTTTAATTTTGAAAATTCTGATAATTGGAAAATATATAAAGTGGCTCGTAAGGATGCTAAGAAAGTAATATACGATGCAAAGACATTAGCTTTTAGTGATTTATATAATAGATTAGATACTAAAGAGGGAGAAAGATTTATGTATAAGTTAGCCAAACAAAGAGATATGAGTAGTAAGGATTTAGTTCAAGTTAAGTGTATTAAGAATGAAGATCAAAAAATACTTTTCTTAGAAGATGATATTCAATAAAGATGGATGATATATTTTGCTAAACTTTTTAATGAAGATTGTGATAATAAGATTGACTATAGTGATATTAGCACCCTTAATGAAAATAAAGATTTCTGTTTTTATCGGCGTATTAGTAAAATGTTAGACCAGTCCTCTTTGGACTGGTCCAGCCGGCCCAAGCCATTGGCCGGCTCGGGTTGTCTACACGCGACGGAAGCAGGCGGAAAACAGAGGGGAGCCGGCGGGATTTTGAGGAGTGTTTTGGGTGGGGTCCACTGGTTTTTGAATTGGTTTCTTGGAGCCAAAAGATGTGGGAGCAAGGGCAATTAGGTCCTTTTAGGTTAATTTTGAATTGTATGCATTAAGTAGGGAGAAAAGAAGAGATTAGGGTTATGTTGAATTTGCTTAAAGTTTTCTTGTTCTTCTTTGGTGGCTAGGCTCTAGATCGAATTCTAGAGATTGGGAGAGTGCGATCCTCCTCTCGAATAGAGGATCCTTGTATCTTTGCTATTTTCCTTGCATCTACTAGTAGAATACAAGCTTTTTCTCCACTATTTCTCTCAGATTTGCTATTTTTTCCACTGTTTTGTGCCATTTTCTGCTGTGGACAGCAGGTTCTCACTGTTTCTTGCGTCAAAAGTGGTTAGGAAATACTTAAAATCAAGCATTTCCTATCAAATTGGTATCAGAGTTGTATTTGAAGGAAGAAGGGAGGAACGTCATCGTCGAGGTGCTGAATTTGAAGGATTTCAGCGTCGAGGTGATGATTGCGAAGGAAGAAGAGGTGAGTATGAAGAGGGATTCGAATATAATCGTCGGATGGATGATCGGGACACTTGGGGGACTCTTCCCTTTTGAGGAATGGGAGGTTATGGAGGATACCGGGGAAACGGAGGAGACCTGCGGGTGAGGAAGCTGAACATGCCCGTCTTTGAGGGTGAAGACAGCCATGGCTGGATCTACAAAGTGGAGCGTTACTTCGCTGTCAACGGGTTGACAGAGGATGAAAAATTGACAGTGGCGGGTCTGTGTCTGGAAGGCAAAGCTCTGGCATGGTATCAGAGGCGTGACAGGAGGGAGGTTATTCGGAACTGGAGAGAGTTCAAGGATTGCTTATTAGAGCGTTTCCAAACCGACGTGGGAGGAGACTTCTATGAGCAATTCTTTGCCTTGACTCAAGAAGGGACTGTGGCAGATTATCGGGATCGGTTTGAGTACTTGACTAGCAGATTGGATCACATTTCAGAGTCAGCCTTAGAAGGGAACTTCATGAAGGGGCTGAAACCAGAGATCCGAACAGCAGTCAGGGTACTGGAGCCGAGGAACCTGGGAAAGGCTATGGAGCTGGCACAGTTGGTAGAAGATCAGAATAAAGCAGAAAGAGGGGCTCGAGAAAACTGCTCAGGAGGCTCTTACAGGACAACGACCACTCTTCTAGCACCCAAGGGGCCTGAATCAGGCAACAGTAATGAGACCACTTCTATCTTATTTTCTCTATAAGAATTCTCTACTCAACTTGTCTAATTCTTTTAGCACTCCCAAAAGTATCAAGGAATGAGTTGAAAGAAAGATTGAAATAGACAAGAAAGAAGACTTAATAAGTTGCAATTTACCAGAAAGAATTAGGAAACAGTTACCCCATAGATTAAGCTTATCATAAGCTTTCTTTAGGAAACCTTGAAAATCTGAGAGAGTTAGTCTTCTCATCACCATTTTGACTCTAAGATAAACCAGCTCGTCAACTGCTTTGATACCTAGAATTTTTGACAGAATTTTAGACTTGCTTCTTCTCACTGATTTCCCAAGTAATAATGAAGATTTTAACACCTTTGCCCTGTCCAGCTGCAGTAGTTCTTCATTATCTTTTTAATTTTCTTAGCATTTCTGCTACTGGCTATAGAAAATATAATGATGTTATCAGCATATAGTAAGTGAGACATTTTTTCAGCCTTTGAAGTCACCTTGACTCCAATCTTTTCTCCTCTTTGATTTAATTCTTCCGTTAACAATTGAGAGCATGTGATAAACAAAAAGGAAGATAAAGGACATCCTTGCCTGAAGCCACATTTTTACCAAATCCATTTGGTATTCAAACCATTAATGAGTATGGAGTATTTAGTATCAACTACACATTGAAGGAGTAGTTTTGAGAAGTTTTCCTAGAAACCAAATTAATCTAACACCTGATTCAAGGTTTGCCATCCCATACTATCGTAGGATTATTCCATATCTATTTTGATAGCCATTATGCCTCTTCTTGATTTAGAAAATCTAAATTTGCTAATGATCTCTTGAGTAAGAAGAATATTATCGGAATTAGATCTACCTTTAATAAAAGAAACTTGATTTTCTTATATAATTTTGGGAAAACAATGAACTAATATGTTCAACAATATTATTGATACAATTTTGTAGATGGAATTGCATAGACGTATGGGTCTATAATTAGAGGGAATAGTCGGGTTCTTGAGCTTAGTAATAAGAATTACTAAAATTACCTTCCAATGTTCACACATCAAGCCAGATTATTAAAAATGATTCACTTCCTTCCAAACATCATTTTTAATGATGTTCCAATAGAATTTAATAAACGAGTATGTTATTCCATCTAAACAAGGTGAAATATTACCTTTCAGATGCCGAACAACAGCTTCCAGTTCTACTTCAAAAAAATTAGCCATGAGCATTTCTTTATTAGCCTCGTCCAGCATTCTGCTAGGTTTTGGCCAGCCAGTTAATTTACATCTTCTGGCTCTCCACTTTTCGTTGAAATACTCAAATAAAGTTTTTACAATACTTTTTTGCTCCTCCAACATTCTACCATCGGATTGTTCAATTTGCTTAACGAAGTTCATGTTCCATCTAGTAGAGGCAATAAAATGAAAATACTTTGAGTTTGAATCACTTTCTTTGATCCACTTGACTTTAGTTCTTTGTCTCCACCAAGAACTAAGCCTTC